CACAACCACATGTATTTGGAAGGTGGTTCGTTGGTGGGAGCGCTATAGCTAACTTGTTGTTAGGAGGTGGGTCACAGGGGACCTGACCTGGAAGGTATCTCTCTCCAGCTCCTCCCTTTGTGCTCTGCTTCTTGGCCACCATGACAAGAGTAGCTTCCCCTGCCCAGGCTCTTCTACCATGCTGTTTCTGTCTTGGCATGGCTGACCATGAACTGAAAACCTGAACCAATATAAACCTCTCCTCTTTTAAGTTGTGGATGCCAGGTATTGTGTTTCAGTGAGTTTAAGACCAGCCAGGAATATGTAGCAAGACCCTGTCATCGCCCCCCCCCCAAAAAAACTGCGTGTGTTGGGAATTCAGCAGAGACAATGACCGGCTTGGCATGAAGGTGAGTGAAAGGGTTCAAAGAAGTCACATTTAAGTTGAGTCTTGAGAGGGGTATTTGAATGGGACTTGGGAGGATTTGGGTGGTAGAAGACCAGCCAGGCAGCAGGAATGGCGGGACCAAAGGCAGGGAGAAAAGTGGTCACCTGTAGAAATAGTATCACAATCATTCTCAGATCTGACCAGGAAGGTAATGTGCAGGTAATATAATTACCCTCACATGTGGTCTTTAAAACTATTAAAATGGGCCAGGTGTGGTGGTGCGCACCTGTAATCCCAGCACTTGGGAGGTTGAGGCAGAAGAATCACTGCAAGTTCAAGGCCAGCCTGAAATGTATAGCGAGGCTCTGTGTCAAGAACAAAAACAAAAACTATTAAAATGCCATCCTGTAAAGTATAGGAGAAATGAAGCAAATAAATGTTTTACTGGGTATTCACTCATGGCTACACTAGGAGATAAAATGAACTAATCAGAAGCTCTACCTGCCTTTGAGGAACAGGTTCTGTGTAAAAGAGTTAAGATTAATTCCATTGATGCTTGTAACATTTGATACACTGAAATGAGAACTAAAAGGGCATATTTGTATATACCCAGGTGGTGTTACCACAGTGAGATGATACCCGAACGCGGTGTACCAGTGTACATAGGACTGACCCAAATGTCATCGTTTGTGCTGGGAGTGACTTTATTTTTCAAAATAGTAAACAACTCTCAGTCAAAAACACATAAAGTACAATTCTCCCTTGAATTAGTACTTAGATGTCTGGAAAATTCAATATATAGTAAAACCATGCCCTCCCCCCAAAATTATTTGATCATTTGTGAAATAGACTTCTGATATCTGGTGATTAAGATCAGATTTTTCAGTGTTATGAAAACTGCAAGATGCAGGATCTCTTTGTTGTGTTGAGCTGCGTCCTTGGCCCCCTTGCACCTGATGTCAGTGGCACCCTCTCCCACGATTCATAACAACCAGACATATGTCTACACTGTTTTGCAGTGACATCAGAAAGGTGTACTACCAGGCTGGGTGGGGCAAGCTTATAATCCCAGCTACCCAGGAGGCTGAGGGAGGAGGGTAACAAGTTCAAGGCCAGCATGGGAAGCTTAGCAAGACCCTATCTCAAAATAAAAAGGCCTAGTAGCTCAATGGTAGAGCACTTACCTAGTTTGCAGGGCCCTGGGTTCAATCATTAGTAGTAAACAAAAACAAAACAGTACTGTCCTTAGTTTCCCTATATGTAAAAGGATGTAACTACCTTCAATTTCATAAAGATTAAATAAGACAGTACATATAAAATATTAGGATCAGGGCTTAGTCTACTTTAAGGATTAGATAATTGTGAACAGTTGAATACAGGTTTAGCTGTGAATTGGAGAGAAGTTAGGACTGGAGATGAAGATTTGGGTGTCATGTGCAGAGGTTGATCTAAACATTGTCAAACATTAAAGAGAAATTAACAAGATTAAATTTAAGAGGAATGGTCATTTCCTAAAATCCCAAATGTCAAGGAAAGCTAGGGACATGACTAAGATGTCCAAAAGAAAAGAACCGGTGGGCCAACAAGAGCCTTGGTATAATTCAGTTGCTCAAAAGTGAAAGTTTTAGGGCAGGGATTTAGCTCAGTGGTGCAGCCACCTGCCTCGCAAGTGCAAGTACCCGAATTCAATCCCCAGTACCGAAAAAAAAAAAAGCAACTGGAAGGAGAAGCTAGTGCTACCAAGTACTGAGTCTAGGTTAAAAAAAAAAAAAAAGTAGATGCTAAACAGTTTTCCAGATAATTTAAAGATAGCAAATATTGGTAGGAGAAAAACTAAACTTGTTCTCATGTGTCTATAGATTTGAGACCATCTTGAAGTTACAAGAAAACATACTGGGTTGTAGTAAGCAGTCAATCAGATACTTAATTGCTCTTTTTCAGGATGGTATAGAATAGTATTTTCTGGGGAGAGATGATTTCTAAAGACTTCTCGATTGGATGTGAGAGTAGACTCCTGGATGACTCACTCCACCAGCCACTCTTGTGGTTTCACTACTAGGGCAGCCAAACAGGGTGCCCTGTTTATAGCAGGACTTAAAAAAGATTCCCCCAGGCCTGCTTTGAATTCAGACATTGGACCACCCGTAAGGAGCTGAACTTAATTGGGAAGAAAATCCAAGCAAAATAGGTACATTAAATGTTTGATACTTTGTGACATTTAATTTTATTCTGTCTGCTCCCCATTTTGGTTTTCCTAACCATTTGCAGCTGAATTTTATGTAGTTTAGATCACCATGATCTAATCATTACAAAATAATTTTGCTTTTGTAGAGTCATTGGTGTGCCAAGTAAGAGGTCCCCGACTGCTCCTCAGTTTCTCATACAGTAGCCCCCACCCTGTAGGAAAATCTGCCTTCCAAGATGCTTTCTGCACCAAGGTTCCAGGCAAGGCTTTCTGCCTGGGGTCAGTCCATCAGCTCCCTGAAGTGTATGTTAAATCCTGTGTGTGCTTTTCCCTGAGGAAGGGGCGTTGGCATCATTGGATTCCCAAGTGAAGTGTATGTTTCAGATTAAGAATCCCTTGAATGATCTTAGTTAAGTCACATATCTATTCTTTTTAAAAATACTAAGTGTCTCTTAGCTGCCTTTAGTTAAATTTCTCAGATTGAGGGGTGGTAAATTGTCCAAAAACCAGCCTAATTGGAGGGTTCCCCTGAGCTCCCTGCCTCTGCTGTGGTCTTAGAGCATCCTCTGCCTACATCAGTCAGAGCACTTGCTGCATTTTTTTGAAAGGCTCTGTTGATGGGACTATGTTATGTTATATTGATATTTATTTTATATTGATATTTTGAGCATGGTGGGTGCTCAGAAGTGTTAGTGACTTGAATCCTTCACCCATGGGATGCTAGCAGGACTACTTCCCTCATGAGCAGTCAGTACATTTCCAGCACTGTTCCTGAGCCAGGTGCTGTGTTAGGCATCCGGAATACGGAGGCAAGCTCCCCTCCTGGAGCTTATGGGCTGTATCCAGAGGGAACATGATTTTTGCTGCCTCTGAACAGCCACATGTGATCCTTATGCATATATAATGGTGCTGGCCTTGCAGAAACTCTCCCGCTATTACAGACAGCTGGGTGCAGCTACGTTCATCACTTGAAACAAAATGAAAATGCTCTTTCTAGACTTCTTCAAAACCCTCCATTAGATTCTTCTCTAAAATCCTCTTTCCCAATGAATATAGCCATTAATGGTTTGCTTCTAGAATATAGAAAATTTGGATTGCAGATGTCAAAGTGTCAAGGCCAGGTGTTGTAATGCATGCCTGTAATCCCATCACTTGGTAGACTGAGGCAGGAGGGTCACCACAAGTTCAAGACCAGCCTGGGATACACAGTGACTTCAAGGATAGCCTGAACTACATAGGGAGACCCTATCTCAAAACAAACAAAAGGTGGCATCATTTAAGACCATGTTCTGCACATAGAAATGCCTTTGTTTTTTTAAAACTCAAAGGAAAAATTGATTAAAAAATAGCAGTGACCTCATGCCTGGCTTGTTAGTATGTTCTTTTTCTTTTCTAGCTTGTGTTTTTAATCCTGTGGGTTTGGGTTTGTGTCTGACCTTATTTGCCTGAGCTACAAGAGGCACTATTAAATTCCAAGTATATGTTTTCCCTAGTAGTAGACTTGGGCAGGAACTGAGAACAGAAGCAAGTACAAGGAGAATCCAAGTCCAGAGCACTGTGCTGTGTCTGTGCTAATGCTCATTACACTATGGAGTTCATACTGGGGGTGTCTGTGGATCTCAGAGCTCTGTTGTGTCACCCCACCTGATTTAGTAGGTATAGGCTAAGATTCCAGCACAACAGGAGAGGGCAAGCACGCGTGTGTGTGTGTGTGTGTGTGTGTGTGTGTGTGTTTTGCGTGCGTGCATGTGTGGTACTGGGGACTGAACTGCTTACATCTCCAACCCTTTTTAGTTTTTATTTCGAGACGGGGTTTTGCTAAGTTACTTAGGCAAGGCTCAAACTTGCAATCCTCTCATCTCAGCCTCCCAGAGTACTGGGATCATAGGTGTGCAGTGCCATAACTGGCTAGAGAGGACTTCTTTTATGTGGTCATTGAGGTACAAAAGGTTAACAAGATGCTTATGCCCATAAATATTGGCCCTGCTTAAAGGGACTGTGGCTTTCTAATTTCCTAAGATGAGCTTCAGAGAGATTTCCTGCACTCACTGTTCCCGCTGCCACAGTTACTCTTCTCCCAATAGCTGCATAATTACGTCCTGTTTATTGTCTGTCCCCAGTAGATGGAGGCTTCATCTAGGTGGGCTTTTTTTGTTTTGTTTTGTTCATTGATTTATGACAAGCTTCTACAACAGATCCTGGCGGTGTGTTAAGTAGCCAATAAATATTTGTTGGATGACTATTATTAGTGAGGTTATTCACATATGTTCTTGGTTCAAAAGATTTCTTGCAATTGCCCCGGAAACCTAACTTCCTCCATTTGTAGCATTTTCTGTTACAAAACATCCCAAGTGCCGAAACCAGATGTGCAAGGGGAAACATATAAGACTTCATACAGGGGAAGGAGCTCACTGGTTCCTGATGGACTGTCACTTTATTCTAAAACAGGATGTGCTGTGGTCTGACTTCGGGTTTCCTGGGAGAGACGGCCAGGAAAGTACACTGTGGATCGGCTCCCTGGGCGCACATACCCCCTGTCACCTGGACACCTATGGTTGTAACTTAGTCTTCCAGGTGCAAGGAAGGTAAGGTACACGTACTATCCATGTGCATGAGTGTATATGGGTATAGAGAGAAGACGAATAGGAACACCAGATCTCAGTCCCAGCCCTGTTCTGTTCCAGGGCAGAACTCTAGCCTGCCCACTGTTTCCCCTTTTGTGAAGCAAGGAGAACGGTTGAATTGGTGATTTCTGCATGTCTCAGTTATGATCAGAACTGTCTTCCGAGTTCCCAGATCAGCTGCAGCTCTCTCTTTAGCTTTTTTACATAAGAGTAGAAACATGCTATATATATATAGTATTCAAACTTTTCTTGAAAAGCTCACCACCCTTTATTCAGCTCTCAATAAATAAGAGCAGGTGGTACATGCCAATGATCCCAGCATCAGGAGGCTGAGACAGGAGTCTCTCTGAGGTTGAGGCCAGTCTGGACTACATAGTAAGACTTTGTCTCTCAGTAAATAAATACGTCCATATAGGGCCGGGGATTTAGCTCAGTGGTTACACTGCCTGTCTTGAAAGTGCAAGGACCCGAATTCGATACCCGGTACCAAAAATCCACAAAACTCTCAAATATGTGCATACATAATGTGCATACATACATACATAGGTACATGCATACGTAGGTACCTGCAGGGGAGCAGGTCATTGCCAGGAGGCATCTGCCCTCTGGCCCTCAAGTTCATGGGGATTGTGGTGCCAGGAAGCCGGGGCCAGATAGTTTCTGTGATCCTTTTCGACCTGCCAGTAGATGCAGTGCAACACATTTCTACCTTAGGTCAGTTTTCTCTCCATCTCTGTCTGGATCCTTAGGGGTATAAAGGCTATACTTTTGGTAGTGCCCAATTCCTGGAGTTCAGGCTGGGGCCTGAGAGTCTCCACTCCTATGCATGCACTGATTATTCCTTTCTTGCAGGTTTCAGAACCATGAGGGGGTTTTGAGCAGGGGCTGGTGAGACTGAATCCCTTTTCTGGTAGAAGGACCCCCACATTGAGGATGTGAAGTAGAGCAGAGCAGATCAGAGGGGATGGCTGTGGTTACCACTGTTCCTCTAGAAAACACTGCTGTGGTACAGGGGCTGGAGCCAGAATCTGGAGGAGCCTGTAGATCTGTATCCCTCTGTTGGTTCTGGGTTCCCTGCTTAGTGGGACCCAGTGAGTGACACTGAGAAGGCATTTAGGACTCTGCCACTGCTTTGGAAATGAACTGAGACTAGTGGCCTCTTCAGAGCCTTTCCAGGCCTGGGTTCCAGCCTGCCATAGGTGCAGTAAAGTGGAGCAGTTTTGTCACCTCCAAGCCTTGAGGTGAAGCCATCTGCTTTTGAACTTCAAGACTTGTTAACTGATGGCTATGTAAACTGATAGGTTGTGCATAGTTTCAAAGAAAATTTCTACAAGTGTGTGTGTGTGTGTGTGTGTTATGGCTTGTGTCTAGATGTCCCCACAAAGCATTATGCGGTCATAGGTGGGGTTTTTCAGAGGTGGCTGGTTCTAGGGTAAGTGATGCTGAGATCAAGGGTGCCCCACCCTGGGTGTAGATGGTACCATCCAAAAGTCAGGTAGCCTGGAAGAGATAAAATAGAAAGGCAGGCTGCTTCTGCTGTTGTCATTGCTTGCTGCTTTCTGCCTTCTGCCTGCCCTGCTTTGCCATGGACAGTTTTTTTTCCTTGATTACCCTCTGCCATGCCACCCTGCCTTGGAGCCAACTGACTATTGACTGAAACCTCTACAAATTGTGACCCAAATAAACCTTTCCTTCTTTAATTTTGGATATGGGTATTTTGTCTCTAATTAGAAGAGTAAGACTTTTTGTTTTGTTTTTTGTTTTTGTGTTACTGAGGATTGAACCTAAGGCACTCACACTGAGCTCAATCCCCAACCCTTACCCCACACCCTTTTTTCTTTTGAGACAGAGTCTTACTAAGTCACTAAATGGCTCAGGCAGGGGTCACAGATCCTCCTGCCTCAGCCTCCCAGAGTAAAGATAAAATATTTTATTATTTCTATAAAACCTTCCAGTTTCCAAAGCAAAATAAGACTTTGGCATATAATTCTTAGTTTGAAAATAACAGCCACTGCTTCCCAGTTCTGAAAGGACTTGAGAGCCCCAGTGTAACTGCCGGGGTCAAAAGAGGGTTATGGGGCTTCTGTTTTCAGAACTAGAGCTTGTTTCTCTTTTTCTTTTTGCTTCCTCATCTCTTGACTTCCTGTCTCTCTATACTTCTCCCCCTTTCAGGTCAGATGACCTCCCTCTACTGGCATAAAGTGTGGATGTGTCTAGTGTTTTGGGAATTAAGATTTTTACCTCCAGGGCTGGGGATTTAGCTCAGTGGTTCCGCTGCCTGCCTCGCAAGCGCAAGGACCTGAGTTCGATCCCTGGTACCAAAAAAAAAAAAGATTTATTATCTCCATTTTTCAAAATTTTTTAATTGACTAAAACATTTCAGTTTTTTCTTTTGGATACTTCTATATCACACTATTTTTTACTTATGTGGCCAATATGTATGCACTTCTTTTAATAGATTAATGTAAATGTTTAAGTTAAAAAAATTATAATGCAGAGAAGAAGCCTGGGAGCTATTTGGTAGATTAAATTTTCCTTGTATTCCGGATAAGAATGCAGATATTTGAAAGGGTAGGGGTTATTCTGGGTAGCTCTAGAGTCAGGAATAAACCCAATGTATGAAACCTTTGATTTGAAAAATGAAGGAATGATCTTACAGACTGGGTCCTGTCCGAGCCATGAAAGATGCTGCTTGCAGGGGTCCCAGTTCACTCACTAGCTGTCTGCTCAGGGGATTCCAGCAGTGACTGAGAGGCCAGGTGACCATGGAGGTGGCACATGTGCTCCTCTAGGGATTGATTTTAAGTGAGTAAAAAATGAGCATTTAGGTGCTCCCTTTGTATATGTTTCATCCCAAGTTCTGAGTACTAACTTTCATCTATTTTTTTCATTAGGAAAGAATGGCATCTCTTTCCTCCTGAAGATACACCTTTCCTTTATCCAACTAGAATTCCTTATGAAGAATCTAGCGTGTTCAGTAAAACCAATGTTGTCAATCCAGATTTAAAGTGTTTTCCTCGATTCCAGAAAGCTCGAAGGCATATGGTCACACTGAGCCCAGGACAGGTAATGGGCTTTACAACATCAATGTCCTGTTAGTGGACATCACAGCCATATCTCTCTGAAGTCCCTCATGCCACGTGTTTCCCCCTCAACAAATGAGATTGGTTTGCTTCCTGTTCCTCTGCTGTTGGGTGTGGCCTCCCCAACTATGTACGGTTCCTGGAAAGGAGAAGGGAAGAGGGAAAACAGCTTCACCTGTTGGTAAATAAACCTCAGAGGACAAGAAGAGCCCACAGAGCTGTTTTCATGAAGGTTAAGAGAAAGCATCAAGCATGGGTACTACAGCAGCTCTGGAACACTTATCACAGTTAATATCTGTTCAAGTTGGATAGAACAGAACCCAGACAACATAAGCACAGGCTGGAATGTATGAAGGGAGCAGGCCACCAGAGGCAGGCTGGATGTAAATAAATGATTTGCATTTGAGCAGGAATGGGTGACTATGTCTGAAACATTTCCAAAGGAATTGTACTTACTGCTGCTACCCAGGGGAATCTCCTTTGCAAATTGACGTTTGCTGCCTGATAGTTTATTAGCAACTGAAAGATTTTCTGCTCTCTTGAGCAGACTTTATTCCCTAGATTATCCCTCTTCCCTGTCTGTCTTCCTTCCGTGGCTCCCTTCCCTCTGGCTCCCTCTGGTTGCTTCTCCCTCCTCACTACCAGATCCAACCATTTGACTTGACCAAGTTGCCTCACCCCTTAGCAGTCACTCCCCATTCACACCTCTCCTCCCAAGCCCCTCACAACACCTAACTTACTTTCTGTCTCCACAGATTAACGCATTCTATATATTTTATGCACATTCAACCATACAGTATATGGCCTTTTATGTCTTTCATAGAGCATATTATTTTCAAAGGCCATCTGTGTTGTGGAATGTTATCAGCACTTCATTGTTTTTATGGCTTTTCATATATTCCATGATGTAGATAAGCCACATGTTTATCCATACATCAGCTGATTCGAATGGTACTGTTGTGAATATTCATGTACAAGTTTTTTGGGTTTTTTCTGTACCAGGAATCGAACTCGGGTCCTTCCACTTGCGGGGCAGGCAGCAGAACTACTGAGCTAAATCCCCGGCCCTCGTGTACAAGTTTTTGTTTGAATATATATTTTCAGGTTTTGGGTATATACCTAAGTGGAACTGGTAAGTCATCTGATAACTCTGTGTTGAACTTTTTTGAGAAATTGCCAAACTGTTTTCTACAGTATCTATTCCATTTTACTTTCCCACCAGAAATATATGAGGGCTCCAATTTCTTTACATCTTAGCCATTTTGCCATTTTTTATTATTGTAATTCTTATAGTCATTCTCATGGGTATGAAATGGTGGCCAGTTCATTTTTTCTTCCATCTTTAATAGCCAAATTTGGATTTATTTTGTCTCTTGTAACTATTTTCCTTACATCTTATACATTCTTTGATTCACCCAAGATAGCTCTGGTTCTCACTACTTCAATGAAACTGTATTTCTGCATTAGTGTTCCATCACTGTGACAAAATACCTGAGAAAATCAGCTAAAAAAGGAAAAAGTTTATCTGGGCCCACAGTTCCAGGGTTTTCAGTTGATGGTTGCTTGGCCCTGTCACTTTGGCCTGGTGGCAGCACAGCAGCTCCCAGTATGCCACAGGCTGGCAAGCATGCCTTCAACATGGGGCCTTTGGGGATCCCTCCAAACCATAGCAGCCTCTTCATGATGAAACCCATGGCCCTTTATGATCATTTCTCCCACAAGGAACTCTTCCCACCTCCAGCCCTGCCCTATCCGAGCCAGTGCCACTCATTTGCTAATCCAAAGCTTTATGTCATCTCCATGTGCTGCTCTGGTACCGAGTCTGGATGGATGCCATCATCCGTGCCCCACCCCAGTCCTCCTGTCTAGTAAACCTTCCTATTTAGAGCTTAATAGTCATGGAAAGGACCACTGCAAGAATCTCCTTGCTTCCCAGTCTCTCTCAGTCAGTTTTAACCATCCTCCCACTCAGAACTTCTCAGCAACTCTGTGCCTCCAGGTAAAATCCTTACTCCCCAGGCCCTGCCTCCCATGATTCCCTCTGAGACCGGCCTGCTTGCTACCTCCCCTCAACAGCTCCACCCACTCTGTCTCTGCCACTCTCCCTTTGACACATCCTCATTCTTTTCTCTAACTTCTCTTCTGTCCTCATTCAAATCATGCCTCCTCCTTCCAGGTTGCTCTCAGCTTCCCTAGCTCAGGCCTGCTTCCCCCACCCTTGGCATTCTCAAGCGCTGAACATTCTCTGATCACCACTTATGTCACACCCCTTTCTGTACATCACCTTCTCCTTGGCTAGATTTTGAACTCTGAAAGAACAGAAACTATGTTCTATGTAGTTTTTGCCTGTGCCCTTTCTCAGAATACATAAATTTTTTTTTGTGATGAAAAATTAGAATCTTAAAAGTCTTTGCTAAAATTTAAATGTAGACAGAAAAGGCCCAAGATTAAGAAGAGTAGAGAAGCTGGCAGAATTCTTTTTACAATATGTGAATTTGTTGATTAAAAGAAGAAAAAGATTATAGGGTTTGTTTATTTGTTTCCTTTTCCTTCAGCACTATTATTTTGAATTGATTTTATTACTTTTCTCCTGGCAGTTTCAGTGGGACTCTTACTCTGACATTAAAGTGAAATGTCGGATTCTTGTGCTATTTTTTGTTTTGTTTTCAGGTCCTCTTTGTTCCCAGACACTGGTGGCATTATGTAGAATCCATTGATCCTGTCACTGTCAGTATAAACTCATGGATTGAGCTGGTATGTTTTTGTTGTTTTCCTTTTAAAAATAAATTAAGTCTTGCTTTTAAGATGCACAAAGCCCATCTATAAAATTTGATTAATTTTCTTTAACCAACACTCTAGGATTACATTGCTTTGATATACTGTGATTCTGTCCTCTGTTGAGTTTGGAAATAGAATTTTTAGAGATGTGCCCCTTTCTTTCTTTAAAGGACACACAGGTCTGGCATGGTGGTGCACGCCTGTAATCCCTGCACTTGGGTGGCTGAGGCAGGACGATCACTTTGCATTCAAGGCCAGCCTGGGCCATATAGTGATTTCACAGCCAACCTGAACTACATAGTGAGACCCTGTCTCAAAAAAACAAAGAAAAAAAAAGACAGGCAGTGGGCCCTGACATTGAGTACAAGTCCATTCCTTGGTCAGTGTTAGGAAAATTGTGTTGGGCCTGACTGGATCTATCTGCCTTATGCTGCCAGTACCATCCCACACCATCTGGACTGGAAATAGCCATTTCCTTGTTCAGAGTTCTCATTAGTAGTTGCAGAAATCTCAGTCTTGGCTTTTACATTTTTCTCAGAGCACTTGGTTTGTATTTATTTCTGCCAGAAGCCTTTCCCCACCAATACACTGTGCCTAATTGTGGCTCCTGCTCTATTTGGCAATTACAGTTGTGGCCTGTTGTGCCCAAGTCTGTCGCTGTCACCAGGGGCTTGGAGTGTGCCAGTGCCCTCATTAGCCCCAGACCCTGGCTGCATCTTTGCTCTCCTTAACCCAAGCCCTCGATTACATCTTTCTGCTCTGTTTGGCAGCTGCACTCTCCTTTGGCAAGCTTCCTCTCTTTTGTTAATGGGAAGGCTTTGGAATAGGTGGTGCATCAGGAGTATTAAGACAGAAAGCTGTGAATGTGCACTTAGAGAAGAGAGGAAGTGTAGTCTTTGGGGCTTAGGTGAGAGCATGGTGGAGATTGGTAAACTCATAGTTAGAAATGCTGCCTGTAGCATGCAACCTGGAGTTGCACCCAGTGCTGAGGTGGAGTCCACGGAGTCCCTTCCTCCACCAGCGCCAAAGTCACATCTGCAGTAGCCCTGACAGATGCTTTGCCTCCCCAGCGAGCTCATTAGTGTTAAACAGTGGAGCTGTCATCTGCCTGCTTATAGCCCCATCCATTATTTCTAAAACTACATATTCTTTGTTAAGTGTTTGAAGATAACTGCCATGTGGGTCTTTATAGTGTTCTTCCAAGCACAAAAACTCTTAGCTTATTTCCTGGAATGTTTTTGTAAGACTCGCCCCATCCCATCCCCGGACTCGTCACTGTCTTGGTCATGGACTTGGAATCAGGGAGGCTCAAGTTGTGGGTCACCTTTATGAGCCAGCTAGGTGGTACTTAATCTTTTTAAGCCTTGGTTTTCTCACTTGTAAAACGAGGATTATAACTGACCCTGACTCAGGAGAGTTGTTGGGATGCTTAAATTCACCAAGCAATGTAAAAGCATCCAATATAGCACCTGGCATACAGGAAGTGTTTACAACTGAAATTGCGGTGAGGAGGCAAGGAGAGCTGTGTGCTGTGTCCAGAATAGCCCTCGTCACGCACAGCACCTCACACTGAGTACCAGCAGGCCTTGTTTATAGGATTTCTGCCTCTCATGACCCTGAGCCTGTGTTTCTTCAGTACTGCTTATAGAATTGCATTAGTCTTGTTAGTAACCTTATTTCACTTCAGGTTCCTATTCAGCTTTAAAATAACCATGTTTTTTCACATCATCTGCTGTCCCGTCAGGTTGTCCCTGGTCTTAACATTGGTAAAGCTGATTCTTCAAGTCTGAATCCAGCACTTCACAGTCATCCCTATTAATTTTCATCATGTTGGCTCAGGTGAACTTTCCAGCTTGCCAAGATAATTTTTAATTTCATTCTCATCTGTACCTTAGTGAAGCCCCTTCAGGCTGTCCATCTAAGTGTGTCCTTGCTCTGTGGCATGACAGGCCCTGGTCCCCTTGTACTTTCTCTGCTCGAGACTTAGGAGTGATCATTTCCACAGCAGCCATGCTTCCTTTTAGTGGGGAGTGGTGTTTAGAAACAGATCTGGTTTCTGAGGCGGTTCATTACTACTGGTTCTAAGTCCTTTAGTGAGGCAGCTAGAGTGAGACAGATGGATGGATGATAGAGTATTGCTATGTTTACATTTCTAATTCAGTTTTTTTGGTACCGGGGATTAAACTCGGGTCCTTGTGCTTGCGCAGCAGGCGTCAAAACCACTGAGCTAAATCCCCGGCCCTTAATTCAGTTTTAATATAGGGCTTTTAATTTGTTTTCTATGTTACGAATTTCTTATACTATCCTTATGAATAGTAACATAATTGTTTTATCCCATTTTTTTTCTACCTTTTTGAGACAGGGTCTCGCTATATACTTCAGGCTGGTCTTGAAAGCACTATAATAGCCCAGGCTGGCCTCAAACTCACGGCAGTCCTCCTGCCTCAGCCTCCCAAGTGCTGAGATTATAGGCAAGTGCCACCACACCCAGCCATATCCAACTATATATATTTTTTTATAGTTTTAT